AAATTTGGCTGCACCACTGAGTGCCTATTTCCTTATCTGTAAAACTGGAAGGATTATAGTCCCTTCGCCTGTAGGCAGTACTGTGGGGGTTAAACGGTAATAGCACACGTGAAGTGTAGGGCTGTAGGGCGGCACAGGGTCGTGGGGTGTGCCTTATGCTGTGCTGAAGTGAAGGATCTGAGAAGTAAAGAGGCCACTGAAGAACTGGTGAAGAGCATTTGGATGTGGGGGGGCCACACCACCTGTGGGATCAGCGGGGGCCCCAATGCCTAGAAGTATCTGTATGTATTAGGTACAAGCAGGGGGCAGGGTTGTGAGTGAAGTTATTATCTATAGGCTTAGTAGTGGGGCATACATAATTACGTGAGTTACAAGCAAGAGGGCCACCCCATTATGTTACCTGGGCAGAGAGGTGGGCCGTGCGTAGTAGGGGGCTGTGCTGTACGCAGTAGCAGAGGGTCGTGGACAGAAAAGGGTCCACCCTCATTAGGTCACCGAGGCAAGGAGGTGGGCTGTGTGCAACAGGTGTTGTGCGCAACACTTCTTATCTAGGGGCTGGAAACTTCAAAGAATTTTTTAATAGTAGGATACTGTAAGCCAATGGAGTGGGAACTAACAGACTTGTGCTCTTCTCTTAAGATATTTATGGGAGGATGATTTGACCTAGCACAGAAATGAGAAAAGACTGACAGGCTGTACAGCTGCTGTGACTGGTTACACCAGAGGGGTTCTTCTCCCTTGGTTATTTCCAGGATCTCAGGCCTGAGGCCTACTTTCCACAAGAACTGGATGTAAGGTACTACAACTTCTTTATTAGGAGAGGCTTTTGCTCCAAGCCTGACATACAGTGCATGCCCCTTTAGGCGGGGACGCCACTGCCTGAGTCTTTGGTTCTTGTTCTGGTTTGGTTATTTTTCCATGTACTGCTTCTGTTCTGTGACTGCTTAGGCACTCCTTCTACTACAGACTACTATATGGTTATATGGAAGGATTCTATAAATTAGCACTAAATGTGTTAGTACAGCTCTGACTATGATACCTATATGATTATATAGAAAGATTATATAGAACTAAGTATGCTAGATGTAAGTATTAAGTATGATTATATAAGCTGGATACATGTAAGCAGTAAGTTATACTTCAGGCACTAATTCTATAAACTAATATATGATTATATATAAAGGATTATATAAAGGAAATAGCTGAGTAATAACACTATGAAATATTCTTCAGGCACTAATTGTGCCTGGGGTCTGGACAGTTCTCCTTCCTGGGTGCCCATGGCGGGTGTTACCCACAGTGAAGTACCTGAAAGAGTATATGGCTTGGCCAGGCACAGTGGGTCACACCTATAATCCCAGCACTTTGGGAGGCAGAGGAGGGCAGATGACCTGAGATCAGGAGTTTGAGACCAGCTTGGTAAAACCCTATCTATGTCAAAAATACAAAAATTAGGGCTGGGCATAGTGGCTCATGCCTGTAATTCCAGCACTTTGGGTGGCCCAAGGTGGGCACATCACAAGGTCAAGAGATTGAGACCCCCATGGCGAAACCCCATCGCTACTAAAAATAATCCCAGCTGTAATCCCAGCTACTCTGGAGGCTGAGACAGGAGAATCTCTTGAGACCAGGAGGCGGAGGTTGCAGTGACATGGTGCTGAGGAGGGAGACCACCTTCTCTGAGCTTGGAGAAAAGGAGGAAGTAAAAGTTAAAGGTCAGCCATGTGAGATCAGTGGAAGGACCGGTTGGTAGCACTGGCCACTACTCCTAACCACAATTCTATCTATGGATCTTGGATGTGGTATGGAGGAATTTTCCCTGGAAGGCATTGTTCTTGCTCAACTGCTCAGACCCCTACCTAGTCACGTGCCCCACGCTCCCCTAATTGATCACGACCCTCTCACATGTGCATCTCTTAGATTGTAAGCTTTTAAAAGAGCCAGGATTTTCTTTGTCAGGGAGCTCATTTATCGAGGCTTGAGCCAGCCACAGCTCCCAGCCGAATAAAACTGCCACTTCCTTCCCAGTTCGGTGTTAGAGAGGTTCATTCACAGCTGCTCCTGCTTCAGCATCACTGGACTCCAGCCTGGTGACAAAGCAAGACTCCATCTCAAAAAAACAAAAAGAAACAAAAATTAGCTGGGCGTGATGCCAGACACCTGCAGTCCAAGCTACTTGGAAGGCTGAGGCAGGAGAATCACTTGCACCTGGGAGGCGGAGGTTGCAGTAAACTGAGATTTCGACACTGTCCTCCAGCCTCAGCGACAAAGCGTGACTCCATCTCAAAAGCAAACAAGCAAAGTATATGGTTCGTGTGAACAGTCAATAAAGGTTGTTACTATTACTCCTGAGCATTGATTGTATTCCTCCCCCATTATATATAAATAAGCCAAAGAACAGAGACATTGGGACATGGAATTGGTAAGTGATAAAGCCAAGATATTAATATATCTGCTGATATATTTTCAGATTTGACATTGTATGACTTATGAGTTTGGCCAGCATCAAAAGCTTTGTGCTGAGTGGTGAAGTTGTAATGTTTGACAACCAGCTTGGGGGAAGTGGAAGCAGGTATGTACAGAGCTAGCTTCACAGCTGCATCATGCTCTGTTTTGCAATTGTTAATGAATTTGAACAAGAGGCCCACTATTGATTTATTTATTTTTGAAATAGGATCTCACTCTATTGCCCAGGCTGGAGTGCAGTGACACAATCACAACTCACTGCAGCCTTGACTTCCCAGGCTCAGGTGATTCTTCCGCCTCAGCCTCCCAAGTAGCTAGGACCACAGGTGCACACTGTCATACCTGGCTAATTCTTGTATTTCACCATGTTGTCTAGGCTGGTCTTGAACTCCTGGGCTCAAGTGATCCACCCATCTTGGCCTCCCAAAGTGTTGGGATTATAGGCGTGAGTCACAGTGCAGATCTCACTCTGTTGCACAGGCTGGTCTCTAACCTGAGTTCAAGAGATCTTCCCACCTCAGCCTCCTGAGTAGCTGGGACTACAGGTGCACACTACCACACCCAGTTCCACATCTTTAGTTTTCGCTGGGCAAAAGACTCCACCAAAACTACAAAATTAGCTTGGCGGCACACACCTATAGTCCCAGCTACTTGGGAGGGTGAGGCAGGAGAATTGCTTGAACCCGGCAGGTGGAGGCTGCAGTGAGCAGATATTGCACCACTGCACTCCAGCCTGGCAACAGAGTGAGACTCTGTCTCAAAAGAAAAAAATGAAAGAGATATGTCAGAACTTCACTAGTTTGTCAAGGCCACGAGCGACTTATTTGCTCAACTGGATAATAATTTTCCAATACTGGAAGAATATTTCCTCAAAGTTTTGGTGCTATTTTCTCTCTCTCTCTCTCTCTGTCTCTCTCTCTCTCCTCTCTCTCTCAGTGTAGTGGTGTGATCTTGGCTCACTGTAGCCTCTGCCTCCCGGGTTCAAGCAATTCTCCTGCCTCAGCCTCCCAAGTAGCTATGATTACAGGAATGCATCACCATGCCTGGCTAATTTTTTTTTTTTTTTTTGAGACGGGGTCTTGCTCTGTCTACCAGGCTGGAGTCCATTGGCACGTTTTCGGCTCACTCTGCAATCTCCATCTCCCAGGTTCAAGCAATTCTTCTGCCTTAGCCTCCCGAGTAGCTGGGATTACAGGTGCTTGCCACCATGCCTGGCTAATTTTTGTACTTTTAGTAGAGAAGGGTTTCACCATGTCAGCCAGGCTGATCTCGAATTTCTGACCTCAAGTGATCCTGCCTGCCTCCCCTTCCCAAAGTGCTGGGATTACAGGTGTGAGCCCCCATGCCCCGCCTGCACTTTTAAGTTTAACCAGTATTAGTAACATTTTCTCCACTACTTTCTTAAGTCTAGACGACTTAGCAGTTATCAAGCATTTGCTGATTTGGGTGGTATGAATTCTCCCACCATGGGCAGATTTTAAGTGGCCGAAGGATGTCACTCAATGAAAAGCTCAGAAGTGAGCAGTGGCACATCATAAGAGTGTTTCCAGGGTGCAGATATGATAGACATCAGAGTGTCTGATATGAGAGACATCAGGCGCTCAATAAATGCATAAGTAATTTATTAGCATGAATAAATTAATGACTCCTACTTCGTGAATGAAAGTGCCGGGCAAGTCCTAAAGCGGCACGCCTTTGAGTTTCTTTGTTTTTGAGACGCAGTTTTTTGAGGCCGAGTCCGCCCCTGTCCAGGAGCTCTGTCTTCCAGGCTGGAGTGCCGTGGCATGATCTCGGCTCACTGCAACCTCCGCCTCCCGAGTTCAAGCGATTCCTCTGCCTTAGCCTCCCGAGTAGCTGGGATCACAGGCGTACGCCACCAAGCCGGGATACTTTTTTTTATTTTAGTAGAGACGGGTTTCACCGTGAGAGCTAGAATGGTCACGATCTCCTGACTTCGTGATCCGCCCGCCTCGGCCTCCCAAAGTGCTGGAATTACAGGCCTGAGCCACCGCGCCCTGCCCGAGTTGTGCTTATGATGCTAAGAGAGGCAGCTTCCAGTGAGTCTGGAAATAGCAGCCGGGCCTGGTGCAAGCAGGAAAAGGGCGGGACCCTGGGGGGGGTCCCCGCCCCGTCTCCGCCCCGTCCCCGCCCCCTCCCGCTCTGCTGCTCGCCCCTCACCTGTCCTCGCCCCACCCCTGGTCTGGCTACGCCCCTCCTCGGACCCTGCCCCGCCCCTCCCCTTCCTTCTCCCCACCTATGACCCGGTCCCTCCCCTCCTTGACCCCGCCCCACCTCTGATCCAGCCCCACCCCACTCCGCTTCTGGCCCGGCTCCGCCCCTTCTCGCCCTTCTCCCCGCCTCTGACCCCGCCCCGCCTCTGACCCGGCTCCAACCCCGCCCCGCTTTTGGCCCGGCTCTGCCCTTCCCCGCCCTTCTCCCCGCGTTTGAGCCGGCCCCGCCCCGCCCTGCCTCTTGCCCCGCCCCCACCGCCCTTCTCCGGCCTCTGGCTCGGCCCCGCCCCCTCCTGCCCGCCCACCAGCTCACCCTCCGGCCCGGCTCACGCTACCGGCACATGTTTCCGGGCGGACCTCCAGAGGCCGGCGCACAAGATGGCGGTCTTGGCGGCCTGAGGAAGGCGGCCGCGGCTCAGCCGTGGGCTCTAGCGCGGGGCTGGAGGCCGAAGACAGACTTCGTCCAGGTGACAGGTAGTAGGGGTGGTGACGTCAGGTCTCGTGGGGTGCAACACCCGCTTGCTGCTGCCCCCGGACCCTGCCGCCACACCAGTCCTGCCCCCGGACGGAACCGAAAGAAGGTCGGGCCCGGCTGCCCCGCCCCGTCCTTCCTTCCTCCGGGGCGGTCACTGCGCGTGGCTCACTTTAGAGTTTACTTCAACCACGTGGAGCTCCCATGGCGGCCTCTCAGGTCCTGGGGGAGAAGATTAACATCCTGTCGGGAGAGACTGTCAAGGCTGGGGACAGGGACCCGCTGGGGAACGACTGTCCCGAGCAAGATAGGCTCCCCCAGCGCTCCTGGAGGCAGAAGTGCGCCTCTTACGTGCTGGCCTTGAGGCCCTGGAGCTTCAGTGCCTCACTCACGCCGGTGGCCCTGGGCAGTGCCCTGGCCTACAGATCCCACGGTGTCCTGGATCCCAGGCTCTTGGTGGGTTGTGCCGTGGCTGTCCTGGCTGTGCACGGGGCCGGTAATTTGGTCAACACTTACTATGACTTTTCCAAGGGCATTGACCACAAAAAGAGTGATGACAGGACACTTGTGGATCGAATCTTGGAGCCCCAGGATGTTGTCCGGTTCGGAGTCTTCCTCTACACGTTGGGCTGCTTCTGTGCCGCTGGCCTCTACTACCTGTCCTCTCTGAAACTGGAACACTTGGCCCTCATCTACTTTGGAGGCCTGTCTGGCTCCTTTCTCTACACAGGAGGTAAGACATGGCCTGTCCTGTGTGCTACAGGCCTTAGTCGCATCTACTGGAAACCGCTGCTTTGCAGAGGAGTTATAGGGATGCCAAAGGTGCCTTTCTAAATTAGGCCACCTTACTTAAAATCTATAATTGTGGGTCACGTGAATGTTTTGAAACAGTGATTTGAGAAGATCCTGGCTTGACTTATGGACGTAGGGCATGACTCAAAAATTTATATGGACATTTATTTTATTTTAAGATGGAGTCTTGCTCTTGTAGCCCAGGCTGTAGTGCAGTGGCATGATCTCAGCTCACTGCAACCTCCACCTCCCGGGTTCAAGCAATTCTCCTGCCTGAGCCTCCCGAGTAGCTGGGATTACAGATGAGCGCCACCACGCTGGGCTAATTTTTTTTTTTTTTTTTTTGAGATGGAGTTTCAATCTTGTTGGCCAGCTGGAGTGCAATGGCTCCGTCTTGACTCACTGCAGCCTCTGCCTCCTGGGTTCAAGCGATTCTCCTGCCTTAGCTTCTTGAGTAGCTGGGATTACAGGTGGGTGCCACCATGCCCGGCTACTTTTTTGTATTTTTAGTGGGGATGGGTTTCTCCGTGTTGATCAGGCTGGTCTCGAACTCCTGACCTGAGGTGATCTGCCTGCCTCATCCTCCCAAAGTGCTGGGATTACAGATGTAAGCCACTGCATCTGGCAGTTTTTGCATTTTTAGTAGTATATTTGTAGTAGAGATGGGGTTTCACCATGTTGGCCACCTGGTCTTGAACTCCTGGCCTCGTGATCCTCCTGCCTCAGCCTCCCAAAGTGCTGGGATTACACGCATGCCCGGCCAGGACATATATATTTTTTTTTTTTTTTTTTTTTTTTTGAGACAGAGTCTTGCTCTATCGCTCAGGCAAGAGTGCAGTGGCACGATCTTGGCTCACTGCAACCTCTGCCTCCCGGGTTCTAGTGATTCTTCTGCCTCAGCCTCCTGAGTAGCTGGGACTACAGGCATGTACCACCACGCCTGGCTAAATTTTGTGTTTTTAGTAGAGACAGGGTTTTACCATGTTGGCCAGGCTGGTCTTGAACTCTAGACCTCGTGACTCGCTTGTCTTGGCCTCCCACAGTGCTGGGATTACAGGTGTGAGCTAATGCGCGCGGCCTATGTGGACATTTTTTGTGTCTCATTTTCTTTTATCACTCATACTTTATAATGCCATAGTTTTAAGTATTAGTAGACTTAAATTTGAAGAGTTCAAAATGATATACCTAATTACTTCTAGCTAGTTTCCTAGATGACTTCTTGCAGAAGGCTGATTAAGGTAGTGATGGGCAGGTGGGTAAGTCCTATTTATTGAGCACCTGTTAATGTGCCAGGCACTGCTCTATGTGAACACATCAGTCACAGATCTCCGCCCTTGTGAAACTTATATATTGTCATGAGAAGAGACAGAAAGTAAAAATAGAAAATGAGAATTAGGATGACCAACATCCTGGTTTGCTTAGGACTAAGGTGATAGGATTAAGTGGGATGTGTGACTTCTGATGCTAAAACCAGGAAAGTTCCTGGTCAGCCAGGTTGAATTGATCACCCTGATTATAGTGTATGAAAGATGATAAGTGCTACAGGGAAAAAAAAGTAGAGCAGGCCAGATGCGGTGGCTCGTGCCTGTAATCCCAGCACTTTGGGAGGCCAAGGCGGGCAGATCACAAGGTCAGGAGATTGAGACCATCCTGGCTAACACAGTGAAACCTCATCTCTACTGAAAATATAAAAGAGTAGCTGGGCTTGGTGGCACGTGCCTGTAGTCCCAGTTATGGAGGCTGAGGCAGAAGAATTGCTTGAATCCAGGAGGTGCAGGTTGCAGTGAGTCGAGATTGTGCCACTGCACTCCAGGGCAACAGAGCTAGACTCCATCTCAAAAAAAAAAAAAGTAGAGCATAAAAAGGGGACACAGATTACTATTTTAAGTAGTTTGATCAGGGTAGACTTCATCAAAAAGGTAACATTTGGATGAGTGCAGTGACTCATGCAATCCCAACCCTTTAGGAGGCTGAAGCTGGAGGATCGCTTGAGACCAGGAGTTGAAGACCAGCGTGGGCAACATAGACCCCAATCTCTACAAAATATAAAATAAAAAATATTAACTGGGCATGGTGGTGCATGCCTATGGTCCCAGCTACTTTGGAAGCTGAGTGGGAGAATTGCTTGAATCCAGGAGGTCAAGGCTGCAGTGAGCCCTGATCACACCACTGCACTCCAGCCTGAGCGACAGAGTGAGACTCTGCCTCAAAAACAAAACAAAACAAAACAAAACAAAACAAAACAAAATGTAGTATTTGAGTTAGATTGAAGGAGGTAAGAGATGAGGGAGTTGGCCAAGCAGGTATCTGAGAGAGGAGCGTTTCAGGAAAAGGAACAGGAAGTGCCATAGGCCATCAGGCAGCAATGTATCCAAAGAGTTTACAGAGCAGCAAGGAGTCCAGTGTGTGAATGAAGGACAGGGTAAAGGAGGGTAAAGTAAGAGAAGTATGTTTGGGGAGGGTAGGGAGGCACACGGGTTGTATAGACCTTGTAGGTCTGGTCTTGGCTCTGGAATGGAGGAGCCACTTCAGGATTTTGAGCAAGGGAGTGATGTGATATGACGTAATTTGTTGGTTTGTTTTTTGAGATGGAGTCTTGCTCCGCTGCCCAGGCTGGAGTGCAATGGCACAGTCTCAGCTCACTGTAACCTCCACCTCTTGGGCTCCAGTGATTCTCCTGCCTCAGCCTCCTGGGTAGCTGGGATTATAGGAATGCACTGTCGTGCCCAGCTAATTTTTGTATTTTTACTAGAGATGGGATTTCACTATGTTACCCAGACTGTCCTTGAACTCCTGACCTCAGGTGATGCACCTGCCTTGGCCTCCGAAAGTGCTGGAATTACAGGCATGAGCCACTGCGTCCTGAGTAGCATGAGCTACTCAGGAGGCTGAGACAGGAGTGTTGCTTGAGCCTGGGAGACAGAGGTTGCAGTGAGTTGAGATCATGCCACTGCCCTCCAGCCTAGGCAACAGAGTGAGACTCTGTTTCAAAAAAAAAAAAAAAAAGACTAACTTTAATCTCAAATTGTATATCCATTTACCTTTTTTTTTCTTTGAAGATGGAGTCTTGCTCTGTCGCCCAGGCTAGAGTGCAGTGGTGCGATCCTGGCTCACTGCAACCTCCGCCTCCTGGGTTCAAGCTATTCTCCTGCCTCAGCCTTCTATGTAGCTGGAATTACAGGCACCTGCCACTGTGCCTGGCTAATTTTTGTATTTTTTAGTAGAGACGGGGTTTCACCCTCTTGGCCAGGCTTTTCTCGTACTCCTGACCTCCTGATCTGACTGCTTCTGCCTCCCAAAGTGCTGGGATTACAAGCGTGAGCCACCGTTCCTGGCCACCCTTTTTTTTGTTTTGTTTTTTTAAGATGCAGTCTCACACTGCCACCTGGGCTGGTGTTTAGTGGCGTGATCTTGGCTCACTGAAACCTCCGCCTCCAGGATTCAAGTGATTCTCCTGCCTCAGCCTCCGGAGTAACTGACATTACAGGTGCCTGCCACCACAGCCAGCTAATTTTTTGTATTTTTAGCAGAGACAGGGTTTCACCGTGTTGGCCAGGCTGATCTCAAACTCATAACTTCAAGTGATCCACCTGCCTTGGCCTCTCAAAGTGCTGGATTTATAGTCATGAACCACCACACCCTGCCAATACCTGCTACTTTGTAAATAATTTCTTTTTTTTTTTTTTTTTTTTTTTGGGACGGAGTTTCGCTCTTGTTACCCAGGCTGGAGTGCAGTGGCGCGATCTCGGCTCACCGCAACCTCCGCCTCCTGGGTTCAAGCAGTTCTCCTGCCTCAGCCTCCTGAGTAGCTGGGATTACAGGCACGCGCCACCAGGCCCAGCTAATTTTTGCATTTTTAGTAGAGACGGGGTTTCACCTTGTTGACCAGGATGGTCTCAATCTCTCGACCTCATGATCCACCCGCCTCGGCCTCCCAAAGTGCTGGGATTACAGGCGTGAGCCACCGCGCCCGGCCTTTTCCCATTTCAGTTATTTTCTTTCTTTTTTTTTTTAAAGATGGGGTTTCACCATGTTGGTCAGGCTGGTCTTGAACTCCCAACCTCAGGTGATCCACCCGCCTTGGCCTCCAAAGTGCTTGGATTACAGGCGTGAGCCACCACGCCCGGCCTGTAAATAATTTCAACTGCAGCTCTCTTTCACTTAGCAAGATGGATAAAGCTGGCCATTTCTGTTTTCTTTTTTTTTTCCTTTTTTTTTGTTTGAAATGGGGGTCTTACTCTGTCACTCAGATCTCAGCTCACTGCAACTTCCGCCTCCTGGGCTCAAGCTATCCTCCTGCCTCAGTCTCCTGAGTAGCTAGAACTACACGCGTGTGCTACCGTACCCGGTTAATTTTTTGTGTTTTTTGTAGGGACAGACTTTCAACATGTTGTCCAGGCTGGTCTTGAACTGCTGGCCTTGAGTAATGTGCCCGCCTCAGCCTCCCAAAGTGCTGAAATTACAAGACGGGAGCCAACCCTGTTTTCTTTCTCGAGATTTTTACTCTTTAGAACCACACATGCTTCTACTGCCATCTGATACTTCTCACCATGTTTTCATCTTGTAAACCTGAATTCTATTCCAAGTGCTCCAAGTTTATGTTTAAATGACAGCACCTTAACAAGAGAAAAAAAATCGGGTTGCATTTTTCCTTCTGTTGCCTGAAAACATAATGGGTGTACATATATTAAATATATTGTTAAAAAAGTCCAGGTCATGTTTCCCAGCTGGAATTCTTTTATTTAATGTATGGGTATTTTGCATTGTGGTATTTGATCAAGACATTAACATGAATAGGAGTTTGTTGCTATAAGACAAATTTGAGATCCACTAAAATTAATTATTGTATGTTTGTCCTTCTGGTGGCTATGGAAGCTTCATATTTCCTTTGGACATCATTAGACATCTTAGCTCTTGAAGTACAACTTTATTGCTATATGA